CTTAATAAATCTTCATATTTGAAAGATAGATGGCCGCACAGCCCTGTCATGTAGTCCTAAACATGAATATGACTTCTGTGGCAAAACACACTATGTGTCAGCACTAGCACTTGCACTTACAAAAAATGTCAGGAAAGACAACAGTGACATTCAATGACCGGAACTGTCGCGTGGCACAAAAAAACATTTAAAAAAAAAAATTTGTTCTATTAAAAGTGCATCTCTAATAGAATTCATTTATTACATGCTTTGTCATTAAAACTATGATTTATTTTGTCCATGGATACACCTGTCATTTACACAAGCGCATACATGGTTCTTCGTAATCATGTACATAAATTGCATCATTCCTAAGCTCTCATCTAGTGTATTTACATGTTATCTGTTCCTTCATACATATATCAATTATTAAAACAACCGGGCTGGCAGATATCAAGATTATTTGACAACAGTAGCGAATGACGAATCGCATGAATAGTTTGGTGCGGTCGTCTTTGACTTTGGAGATGAAAACGCTGTATTTGAGACGTATGTTTAAATTTCAAAAAAAGTAGTCATGTCATAAAGTGTAAAGCATAATGCAGCTCTCCACGAATCTGATCACTTTGAGTTCATGAACTTACTGAATTATTAAAATGGGAAGACAACAATAAATAACATGTATACACATCACAACTGGTGACAATTAATTTTTTTTTGACGACTGCCCTCTAGAGGGAAACCAGGATACAACACAAGAAATAGCTTGGTAATATTTTTTTAACTGATGACTGTTCTAGAAACAAACCAGGATAAAACAAGACTTTGCACAGGGTATTATTTTTAGCTGATGACTGCCCTCTAGAGGCAAACCAGGATACGGCACAAGAATTTGCCCAGGGTGATAGGCATGCAAAATTAACAGTTGCAGAAGACACATAATTATTGTAGAAGGGCAAAGAGCAACTTTCTCACTCAGATTTCATAATTTCGGAATTTCCGCAGTGTTTCACTCGGTGGTTCATTGTTCCAGTGTTCTACACCAGAAGTACCTACAGACAAACAAAAACATTCTGAAATATTATAATAGTGACACACACACATGCAAATTACCAACAATAAATGTGCAGTAAATTAGACCAAAATAATGGTGAATGAAGTTGTAGGAGACCAATGCACAGATGATCAAAAAATTGTCATTTTCAAATGTGATTTCAATTTTGTGAAAAATAAGTTAAGAAAGAAACTATGGTATTAAATTTATGCATTTCAAATGTGATTAAAGCAAAGCAGCATAACTAACACATTGACATCCCCATGCCACCTAAAGAAAAATTCCAGCTATTGACTTATGAACCAGTAAATTAATTACATGTATAACAAAAAAACTTGAAGAGCCATCATATTTGATATAATTTTGATCATAAAATATCTTCATATTCTTTGAATACACAAACAGTTTCACTAGTTCTAGAAGGAATATATTTCTACACCACTGTCACAATGGTTGTAACGCTTTGTGACATTAATCCTCACTCTGGGCTTCGGACAAACCATCGCTCCTCACCATAGGGGAAGTAATTAGAATTGGTTACAACAAATCGTGTTTCTTGCCAATGGCTAAGCCTAATTTCAAACCATGAATTATATTTTAGAAACATCCTCCACAGAGAAATAAATTAAACATCAGGATAATAGTCTCGTGGTGTAATGTTACGGTAGCCTATTTTAATTTACAGCATAAATTAAAAAAAAAATTGTAGAATACTGTCTCTCTCTCTATTTGCAAAGTACCTAACCAATTTTGTTATGTAGTATTATGCACAACGCTAAAATTATTTTATCCTTAAAATTAGAAACTAATGCTATTATATACATACATGTACTATCAAGGACTTGTAAGATAAAGGTTTGCAACTTGTACAATATGCAACAAAGCTTTCTTTTTTAATGATGATCAAAAAATCATAAGACAAACATTTCTAGAAATATTAATGTTTTGAGAGTCATCTCAGGTAGTGTCTGTGTGTTTTTTGTCTTTATTTTTTTCAAACCTTTTCAAGTGTACATTGTGCTCTGTGTTGCCAAATGAAATGGTTTGATTGATGTGTGTGGAACTCCCACAGAATGGATTCTTCATCACAAATTACCCACCATGCATTGCAAAGTAATATTGCATACGATTATGTAAGAAACCGATAGTATTATATTTGCCATACCTCGATATGAACTAAATGCACTGGACGGTCCACTCCATGAAAATCTATCAGGATTTGATCGACTTGCATTATCATCCCGCAGACTGGTATCCATGGATACAGAAGCACCCTCTGGTTGCATTCTGTCTTCCAGCATTGGTTGTGAGTTTGTCTTCACTGCCCAGTGCATTGACTGAAATGAGTGAAAATCCTGTGTTTTTACCAGTATTTGAATACAAATTATTTACATGTACAGATTTATTTGTCTGCAATAACTTAGGGAGTCCACAATAACAGCAGCCAACCCTGATAATATTGAAAAAGTTGTATAAGCATGTATTAAAGCTGGTTAACATGGACAGATTTATCTATTCAAATTACAAAATTGATTACTACGTACAACTGTCCAATTTTCAAAAAATCTGATCGAACATGATATTAATAATAAATAAATAAATATAAATAATATTCTGTGGTTTGATCTTGTAACTTGGTCTTCCCTGGGTTTTTTATTTTAAAAATGTTCTGACACAAATGCATTCTACAGCTCAAAGTAATTTTGAACATAAAGTAGGCTAAATTCAAGCAATTTTACTGCAATCTGCATACATAAATACCTTCCAGTGTTATCCCATGTTGTTTAAACAGAGCAACTTTACTGTACTTGGCCATAGAAATGCAATGTTCGAACTTGAAAAATTAATATGAGTCATTGATATGTTGATTAGCTTTATTGTTACAAATTGTATTATTATGTAATTAGCCTGTGTATTCACCTTTCCAACAGTGTTGTAACTCATCTCGTAAAAACTCTGACAAGCAGCAACCAATGGTAAATAATCAGACAGAAAATGTACTTTCAAAAAGTGCTTTTTAGGTAAAATAAACTGAGTCTGTTGTCATTTTATATCATTTGGTAATTCAAAAACTCAGGCTATAATTCATATTTGTAAACAGTAACTCTTTCACAGAACATAAGGACATATTAGTGCTTCGATATATTAAGCAACTTATGTAATGTTAACAAACAAACAAACATGAAAGTACAAGTATGCCAGAAAGTGTTTACCCCGATGCATGATGAAGTGATGGTCAAGTCATATTTCATGATTTAAACTAAGGTGTTTCCATCATGGATTCACAAGATGAGAATATGCAACATGTGCGAAATGTGGTTAAGATTTAAATTCAAAGTAATACGAAATACAAGATGATCACAAACTGCAATACACATCTTAGAATTAATGTGCGAGTCTGAAACTGATTAGTTTTTGTATTGGGGTATTTTTATCTGGACCCCTTCATTTACAATGCCTGTATGGCATTGTGTTTTCTGTTTCTGCAATCAAACCTTTCCAAGCGTCTACTGTGTTCTGTGATGCTACTGCTTACATATATGTCTGATTGTTGCAAGATCTTCAACGTCTATCACCAAACATGGATATCTAAGTTGAGTACCATAGTTAGTACCTTATGTTCCATTCAGAATTATTTATTATTACCCACTGTTTAATAAAAACACTGTTTATGATTCAAAGTAAGATGTACATACCAAACGAACAGATTTCTTCATTGTAATCCACTGTTTATAAGATACTGCAAGTCCACTATTCCTCCACATATCGTAAAACTTCCGACTTTCATCGTCAGTCAAAACATCACGTGCCTTCTGTAGTAAATGGAATTTTTCAACTGTGAAAAAAGAAGCCCCACACAAATACTGGTAAGACCAAACTCTGAGATGAACCATATCTTGGGTATGCGTCACATCACACATAGTGCTTTATTAATTTGTTTCAGACTTCTACATTTATTTTTTTATGTAGAAACTCACCATATGCACTTATTATAATATAAACCACACAACAATCATGTGAACATTTACCATATGTACTCACAAACCACACAGTATGTGGAAATTCACCATATGCACTCACAAACCACACACATTCTGTGGAAATTCACCATATGCACTCACAAACCACACATTATGCGGAAATTCACCATATGTACTCATAAACCACGCACAACAATCATGTGGAAATTCACCATATGCACTCATAAACCACACAGTATGTGGAAATTCACCATATGCACTCACAAACCACACACAACACATTATGTGGAAATTCACCATATGCACTCACAAACCACACATGCGGAAATTCACCATATGTACTAATAAACCACGTACAACAATCATGTGGGAATTCACCATATGCACTCACAAACCACACACAACACATTATGTGGCAATTCACCATATGCACTCACAAACTACACATTATGTGTAAATTCACCATATGCACTCACAAACCACACATTATCTGGAAATTCACTATATGCACTCATAAACCGCACACAATAATTATGTGGAACCTCACCATATGCACTCATAAACCACGCACAACAATCATGTGGAAATTCACCATATGCACTCATTATAAATCACACACCACACTCAATGTAAATTTGTATTCTAAAAAACTTGTTGCATTATTACCATATTAACTTGCTTTTCTAGTAGTAAAATAAATGAATGATTATCATCTCTTTCATGCAACAGGCAAAAGAAACTACACAGCGTGTAAACAAACATACCTGCAGCTGGACTGGTTGGATTTTTATCAGGATGCACTGCAAGTACCCTTGCTTTATACTCTGCAATTATCTGTTCAGTCTACAAATAAAATAAACAGAAAAATGACTGGTAATTAAAAGTTATGATGCGGTGAATTCATTAACATAAACTGCAGGAATTAAAAACATTTTCCATACAAATGCCTGGGGGGGGGACCTGATTCACACTTAATAATTACGTTTGTTTTGTTGAAAGGTTGTGGTTATCTCAAATGTTCATCAACCTCTACCATATAGCAATATGCATGCATTTTTGTAGTAATTAAAATGTAATTAATAATTGGTGGTTTTGCTGTGTTTACATTTCATTTTAAGTGGTGTCTCAACACATGTTTAATAGTACCCAAGGAGTGGATACATCAACTCCGGTTTAAGGATCTGTCTGTGAATTAGTAGAGTGTTACCTACATATAACATATCAAAGTAATTCGGTAAATAGTTTTCAAAAAGAGCTCAATAATTGAGCCTGTAGTTTTCAAGAAAAAGTTGAAGATGTCATTTTTTACCAAAAATGGCAAAAATACTCGCTAAAAAAAGATTATAGATTATAGATTGGCGTCTGGAGATATACAAAACCACATGAGATACTATTTAATTTTTCATTATTTTTATTTTTCCTGAACATATACTAGATTCAGGTAGAACGATCAGGAAATCAAACAAGCAGCCTGGTATAAATAGTATCAAAGCAATCGGACTTGCTGTTTTTAACAAGAATTCGAAAATATAAATGTTCACCAAAAATGACAAAAATATTTATCAAAATTAGAGAATTGAATATATCATCATGAAATGAACAAATCTGAGAGAAGTCCACATGTAGTAACCATATATGTAATATCAAAGCAATTGGACTTGCTGTTTTCAGTAAGAAGTTAAAAATATTACTTTTCACCAAAAATGACAAAAATACTCATCCAAATTAGAGAGTTGAAGATATCATGAAATGAACAAATCTAGAAGAGGTCTACCCAAGGTACATATACACCAAGTATTAAAACATCCCGGCATTAGTTTTCACGAAGAAGTTGAAAAAATAAAACATAGACACAGGCGACGGACGCCGAGAGCTAATCACTCATATGATAAGTCTGCATAAATACAAAAGTTTCAAATAATGACTTGTTCAATTTTGTAAAATTTTCTTACAAATAATAAAAGTAGTAGAACCATGCGAATCAGACGATGACCATTTTGAATCAGAACATAGAACAAATCACATGAATGTAAGAGAGTACAGCTGTGAAGTTTGATTGCGATCAAGGATGGACGCATGAGGTCAATCCATATGTCCCCATTTACTGACTCTGTCCGAATTGGGACTGACAATGATCATTTTGGTGCGGCGTCTTCGGGACATGAGGGCAGTCGACATATAACACTTATTTTTTTGGCCTTGAGTGGTAGTTAAACACTTTTGATGAATTGATCATTTGAGGAACTGGTCTTTCAATGCACGAATAGACAAACTTTCATATCACATTCGTCCTAAAATGATTTGCCCTTCAGGTTGATTCATTCCAAAGTCAATTTGACCAGATTCTAACTCAGCAGAAAAATATAGCCGAATTCAGCCAGATGTAATCGCCCTAGTGTGAAGTGGTCAATAATTATCATATCTGTTTTGCAAGTTTACAAAAAAATACAGACATTACATCAGAACATGAAGGTTTTCAAAGACTAAATATTTAATAAACCACTTTTTTATACCAAATTTTTCTGGGTAAGAGCCCACACCGGGCAAACGCCCACACCCCAATTTTGATACAATAAAGAAATTGTGGTCATGCCTAAAAAAAAAATATTTTTTGTTCGTTGTATTAACAGTTTACTTCCTTTAAGCAGAAACGGTAGTTCTCTTTTTGAAATATGTCATAGCCCTGAAAAAGGCCTTTTGGTTTGTGCTTCCTTAGAAACAATTCAAGCAAATCTTACAGTATCGAGAGCCACGAAGCAAGTGTTGCACTCATTAGACTTTAGTGTCATCAACAATGAAATCAATGTTGCAATATTGTAGCAACCCGTACCTGGATGAGTAGTTAAAATCACATTGTTTTGGCTTCATAAAATATTTGGTAGCAGCTTGTGAATCCATAACTGGGGGCCAGCAATTTTGCAATGTCACGCCAAAGACTGCCAACTTATTTTTACCATCTTTCATCACAGCTATTGCATTTCTTTCATGAAAATTATTCTTCTATTGTTGAAGATAAAAAAAAATTTCTATTTCAAGCCCACTGCGATATCCATATAGTGAGACATTCCAACCACCGGAACTTGCTGAATGGTAACTTTCACCATGGTTGATGAACGCCTAGTCTGATAAGAAAGCGATATTGACTTGACACCTATGGTAAAACACTAGTAGTGATGTCATTCTTAGCCAATCAGTAAAGCAGATGATTGAAAGACTGTAAACAAAATTGTGTGCCATTGTAGCAGAGTCTTTTGCCGCGAACCCATTTTCCTTTTTTGTGATTAGACATGAACTAAAAGTGCCAAGCTGACAGATAGCGAAATCCGTGGATTAAAAGTGCTAAATCCAACTTGTGTGTGTTGCGACATCGACGAACTTCAGGATGAAGCTGTAGGGATTTACGTTTTATTTCAACAACAATTAACTTTCATAATTTTTACTGTGTAAATTGGTAAACTATTATTGATGATCTTGTACAATGTATCAAGGGATTTTCCAGAAAAAAAATGCAAGAGGGAGCTCTGCAATTCAGCGGTGCCACCAAATGGAGGAGATAGGGTTCTCCCTACCAGAGTTTTTGATAATTCTAAGTTAAAATGGAGCATTCTATGGCTTCCTTGAAGCCAAAATTACTATCAGACAGGTCACAGTTGAAGACTGTGGCCACATGTGATCCCTGGTCAATCAGAGAATCTGCTTCCCAGGGTAAGGGGCACATGGCCATGGCATGAGGGCGCTGCGCCCCTGTTCAAAAAAATCCCTGATGTACGACTGCTGATCCGAAATTTATCAAAACCCGGAAATAATTTTACCCTGGACATTTTAGTTTATTTTGAGTTCATGCATAATGGTCATGTTTGTTGATGGGGAAATCCTAATTCAAATGATTACCTCCAATTTTTATTATTTCTGGTTTATTTGTCACATTATAAGCAATAGATTATTTTTATTATACTTCTAATGTTGCATATTGTTCATTTATTTTCGTTATAAATTTCCCATTCTATTCCCTGCTGCAGTTCGATCTGCATGTTGTCAATTTTTCGCAAATTTTCTTTTTTTTTTTTACAGGGGATATTCGGGTAAGGCCCACCCCTATTTTTTTTTCAATTTTCCATATTCTGGCCCCCGGGCTTTTACCCAGATAAATATGGTATAAAAATAATTTTATGTTACGTTGAAATAAACTATAATGGCATAGTTTTAGTAATATTCACGGGCAATCGTACTTGCCCATTTAAATTTTGAACTTAGCATCTTGATACTACAGGTTAGTTTTGTTAATAATCAAAACATGTAGGTCGTGTAACATTGCCGCCATCTTTACAGCGCTTATGTGTCACTGAAATCAAACACACTGGCAGACCATTAACACCCATTCACAAACCATTAACACATAACCTGGCTGATTTCAACCGCTGGCCGAGTTCTACCGCTGGCCGAGTTCTACTGCTGACGAGTTCGGTGGTCACCCACAAATCGATTCGTCCCGCCGGTAAAGACCGGTCGATTCAGTAGAAATCAACAACACCTTTCACACATACGTCATGGAACGAATCGACTCGTGGGACGAATGTGAATTAGAGCGAATTGGCTGTGAATCAAAATAAAGAATCAACTTAGACTTCCGGGGTGCCTAGTCCCAGATTTTTAAACATATTCCCTGACGTGACTCCGGTCACTGTCGCTGCTACTGCAGACGATCACTGAAAACCAACACAACTCCTCTCATCGACCAAGTGCTACAAGACAAAACCAAATCATTTACCGTTGAACGCTCATCGCATCCTAAAATGTTATAAAAATCTTCTTCATCCGACCTCTTATAGTTGAAAATGTCATCCATTCCTATCCATCAGCAGCATCTAAGCTCGACGTTGCGGGCCGGAAGTATCGGTGGCAGTGTAATTTCTCCCTCCGCCAATCAAATCATTTGTTACAGATTCGAGGTCATATAGAGGTCACCGCATATTTGCTTTGCTGTGTGCTTGTATTGTGGCCGGGGGAGGGGGTTCTTATTTGGGAAGAGGTATAGAACGGTAAAAGAAATACCCACTTTTAGACAATTTTGCGAGAAATGTATTGTTCTATTTTGACATTTATACGGTTTTAACTATTATATTTATTATTTCAGAACAGAATGATGAAATTGTAGACGCCTTTTCACATACTTTTCCTCAAATGAGACCCCTTTTCAGACAATTTTGCGACACATGGTAATTTCTGTTGAAACCGTATCTCAGTGTGGGGTCTTGGTAGGAAATACAACATAGTAACACTTACAAAATTAAAAAAAAAAAACAATAAAAATTATGTGTCGGTTGATGTTTAGTATATTTTAAACACGTACCATTCCTCGGAAGGATTTAATTGATTAGGTTAGAGACAAGTCATGGTCGTCATCAATTCATTGTTGTTACTGCATATATTTACAAACCAGGAATCAACGTTTTATATTCTTTATTTATATTTATAGGATTTATATACAAACAATTGTGTTTCCTATATAATCAGAGAAGTGTGTAATATTATTTACATATTATGCAGTAAAATGCGTTATTTATAAATAAATACCATTATATTTAAGTAAGTATTTGTAAATAATAATACAGACTCGTGTATTTATTATTTCATTGCCAGATAAATGTGAATAAGCGCATTGAATGTAAATAACGAAGCGCGAACATCAAAGTGTAAGAATAATTGCAACTCGACAAAGATAACTTTATTTGCAAACCATAGACGTTGGTGGCGTTTTCATGATTAATAAAAACAATGAGGTTCTCAGTTTGTTTATAAATAAATAAATAAATAAATAATGCATACCAGATTTGCACAGAGTCTTTGTATACAAATAATACCAATATTGACACGGTTTACAAGTTATATATACCGGAATTATGATAACTAAATAATGCAAATTGACATTTTTTGGATACTCAGCGCGACTAAAATCATTGTATAGCAAAAACGGTGAAACGCCGTGTGTTTGATTCATAAATAAATGTCTTGGAATACACATATAGGCATTCGAGTATGTATATTGCAGCACAGTTGTTCATATTATAATCATATTAAAATCTCCGCAGATTAAACTGAAACACGACGGAACTTGTTTTCTACGCATTAAACAGAATAAATCGGAAATACTCTTTCACTTCAATTAATATGCTATGTTTGTTTTACTTTTTCCTAACGTTGTTTTGTGTTACGACACGTCGGTGTAATGCCGATCCGTGGCTAAATCTGTTGCTGACACGTAGTATTGGCCCCGCGTGTAACGTCAGTATAAACTTAGGGTCAGTTTGTTAGAGGGTATTAGACTACAAGAACCCTGGCAAGTTGAGTACTGCGGCCGTAAATCGTTACAATCGAACCTGCTCATTTTAGTAACAATGTCATTTTTTCGTGTGTTTATATTGGCCTGCCTTGTTGGATGTTTCTATGGAGCACCCGGAGTGGACAGAGAAGCTGATCGAGCATCGATGGTAACAATCCATGAAAAACAAGTTAGTATGATGAAGGATATGGCAAAAATGGTGAGTAAAATCTTTGTTGATGTAACTTACAATTGCTAGCTAGCTCCGAAAACTTTTCTGATATGTGTGTGTGCTTTGTCCCTCGAAATCTATTTTTCTAATATACATTCTGTACAGGGTTCCGTATATACGCACCTACGGCTGAAAATAATCCTTGCAAATAAGAAGCGTTCTTCGGACATAAAAAAAAGCATTAGATTAGGCAGGAAAAACAACATAAAGCTGGGGGGTATCATGGCCTGTGCTACACAACACGAACATACTAAAATAAAATATATTTTTCAAAGAGTATTAATTTTTTGAAAATTGTCGCATATTTTTTGTTTACGAGACGGAGGGATGTGATTCTGGTATGGGTGGCACACTTCTATCATATTGCTAGGAGTGTACACCTCGCTAATATTATATGTCTGGTTCTATATCATTGACGTGTCTACGAATTCCACCAGGGAAGACGCTCATTGAACACATATGACACAATTCACTTCAAAATGAGTAACCACGTTATTGTATCTTCAGTATTAAAGGGTAAACAACATTTGTTTAACAGGATAAATTACAGGTTTAAAATTACATAAAATTAAATGTAAAATAGGTTTGTAGCCGCATAAACAACAAAAACAATGGTGTCCAAAGATTGCATTGTTTGTACACACATTCCTCTGGGCACGTTTAACCACATGATATAGGATGGTTTTCTGCTTAGTATAACAAAAAACACTTTTCTAGGTAATCTTTCGACAACATTAGTTTAGTTTTATGAAATCAACTTCTTATACTATGAGAGAAGT